CAAAGTGATATGACTCATCTATTTCATTAAATAGATGAGTCATATCACTTTGCACTCAGCATTGTTTCCTATGTTACACAGATTGGATAAGTAAGGAGGCAACAAGCCAAGACAAGCATTTTAAACACCTTTCACAACCTTGAAAAAAGCTCAACTAAACACACCCAAACTACTTTCCCCAAACAACATTCAGCAGGTTGGCAACCTATCCCCCCATTCAGGACACAGGACACTCCAGTCACACCTCCAGGCCATCAGGCTTTAACATTAGTTCCGCTCTAAACACAGCAGTATTTCTAAGGTGGCAATTTGAATCCCTCAGAAGGGCCTGTTCTCCGCTCAACACAGTGCACATGAGAAAGGGGAAAAAGCATTTGTTTGTATTGCACTTTATTGATTGGTCTAGCACATCACAATTGTGAAACAGGTCATACCATAATTACATATAAATACCACAGTTCGTTCAGCTCTGTTTACCTACCTAAATAAAAAAACGTATTTATAATAATAATAATTATTAAAAAATAATATAATTTATTTCTCCTTTCCTCTAAACTTCCCAATTGTAATTCCCTTGTTCCCCATTGGGTGATTTTATTCCAATGTACCTGCATTTAGGTACCAGCAGGAACGTGTAAGTATTTGTGTACTAATTCATCTTACAAAACTACAATGCAGCTCCTGTCAAAGTAATACCAATATTCTCAAGAGTACTGTAAAATGAACTACAGTAGTGCTACTGTCCATAGGTCTTATTGTATTTATTACAGAAAATTCCACTGTAAACACACCAGAAAATAAATTTGAACCTGAAGCTGAACAGTTTTCCTGCACTTATCTCAAGCCTTTAAACATCAATATATTTACAAATAAAATGTACTGAAACAATATTGTATAATATATGGTGTACTTGATAATAGTCTAAATTTAAAAACTTTAACTATTTATACATACATACTGTATATAATATCTATCCATTTATTTAATGGCGCTAAAGGTCCTAAAGGTAGGATGTAGTTGCATCTAGTGTTGCATGCAGTTTGCCAGTCCCTCACTTCACCCTCCCCTTTCCAACGAGAAGGAGAAGCAAAAACCACAAATCTAGAGCCACGTTTGGTTTTTCCCTTCTGGGCTGCTGTAGAAACTCTACAGCATGTTTTCAGAAAGTTTCTGCTTAAGGGCATTAATGGTGTTGCACTAGGTTGTACACACAAAAAATACCTACCTGACACTACCTGAAGTAGGCATGATTGTGGGAGTGCTTAATTGGAAAAGTTACAAAAAACATCAGCTAAGGGAGGATGTTGTTAAACAATCCAACAACCTCTTCATATTTACACTCATATTTCCCCTAGAGTTCCAGGAGCCCTTGCTACAGCAAACAATCACCTCTACCAGAAGTATCCAGGTATACTAATTCTGATGTAATTAACGGATCAAGAATACTCAGCAGCCTTGGTATGCTGTGTAATGGTTAGGGTCTGTGAATTGGTATTATTACAAGGACCTTTAAAAATAAATACAATTAATGCTTTTTAAAGGTCCGGAGTGGAACATTTAGCAGGATCTAATATTCATAGGTTTATTTTCATTAGTGTATAATCACCTAAAAATAAGAATTTGTGTTTTCTTTATCTCTTGAATTGCCATGTTTCTACAGTAGTCCAGAATAGACAAATCATACACTGGCTCTTCTCTCTTGTTTTTCGTGAGTTTCACCATAGTACACCATTTTCCTACACACTTGGAAGGGAAAGCTGTATTAGGTTGGTTGCAATCTGCAACTTTACCACTAGATGCCAGTAAATCCTACACACTGGTCCCTTAAATTTACTACAGCATCTACTACAGCAAGAACAAATTATTAATCAAATTTAAAGATACATTTTGGGGTATCTTGTTGCTTCGTGATTCTCATACTTAAATGTTTTGGGATCTGGGGGCTGGACTGTGGGGCAGAGATGGTCTCTTTGTGTATGTGGGGAGTAATACTGGCTTTGAAAAAGGTAAGCTTGCTGCTGGCATAGCCCCATTCGGCTCAGCAACATCAGGATGTCTCGGTGAAAGGCCTTTGTCAGGATAGCATAAAAAAACGGGTGTGCGCAGGAGTTGAGAGGATAGAAAAGCACCAGTAGTACCTGTGAAAAAAAACATAGGTCAGCCTTTATTTTAAACTGAAAAATAATCTGGATTAAAGTTCAAGAGGAAGTCACACCTTGGAATCTGTGACAGTCATCAATGGTTGGTGGAGAGCTGCAGACAAGCCATAGAAGCAAATGGGAGCCAGACACAGAAAGTTAGTGAAAATTAGAACAGCCATGCGTTTGGCCATGCTAGTATCACATCTGCTGGACTGGTGATGGGGATTGTGCACCATACTATAGATGTGGAAATAACATAAACACACCACAATAAAAGCAATGACATTAGCCATGAGGACAAAGACCACATAGGCCTGAGCAGCCGTTGTCTCAGTGTCCATAGGTAAGCAGATGCTCACTTTCTGGTAACTGCTCACACCGACCACTGGTAGCAGTGCTAGGATCACACACAGCAACCAGCCGACAAGCATCATCACAGCTGCATGGCGTAACCTAATTTTTCTGTCTGGCCTCATTGCGTAGAAGATGGCATGCCAGCGCTGAAGGCTGATTAAAGTTAAGGTGTACACAGACAGCTCGCTGGCAAACACTGACAATGTCCCTGCTAAATTGCAGCCACTTCCTGTTTGCCAGGCTATTGCATAGTGGTAATAATGGGAGCGTGTGTAGAGGTCAACAGATGCAATGAGCAGTAAGTAAATCCCCATACAAAAGTCTGCAAACGCCAAGTGACCCATGAGAAAACGGGTAACAGACAACTTCTGCCTGCTCGTCAACAGGATGAACATCACCAGGAGGTTGGCTGAAATGGCTAACAGACTGACCAACCAGACCAACACCCTCAGGAAGCCTTGACTCATCACATCCTCACAGGGGTTCAGGGCATCAGGTAAGGGGGTGCACAAGAGTCCATCTGTGTGAAGTTCATTACACAGTGCAAAGTCAAAACCTTCACTGAGGTGCTCTGTATGTAACTCCACATGAAACAAACCCTCATTTTGAGACAGTTGAGTTGGGCTGTGATCATTGTGATTTGTGCTGCCAGCCACCGGGATGCCAAAGTTGTCTTTTAGATGTTGGTAGATTTTGTGTCCCAGATACTTCTGAGAGAGAGCTGCAGAGGATTCCTGCAGCTTTCCCAAAGCAGTTGGGGTCAGGTTGCAAACAACAGCCTCAGAGTGTCTTGAACACAGACAATAAGGATTATTAATCAGAAAACTACAACATTTATTTAGATGCACACCATATAAAGTCTTATGGTGCATGGATCAAAAACACACATTGTCAATCACTTGTAATCACTTGTTACGTTCAGACTGCTAGCTGTAATGCTTGATTCAGAATTTTTGCTCAGATTTGATTTTTTTTGTTTGGCGGTTCACATTATTTTTTAAACGTGGCCCATATCAGATTCCAGTGTGAACATTTCACAGTCCTGCAAGTGACAAGTGACCTGCATGACGACTGTCAGTCTAGAATTACTTAAAAGTTGCATTAATTCTCATATGACTCCTCACACTGAGGTCACACTGCAAAAAATCTGACCTGAATCTGATTTGGACCACATATGAAATAAAATAAAATAAAAGTCTATGGTGGTGGTGCTTTTGTCAATATGAATTTGTACTGAAACATTGTCAATAAAATGACTATAAGTGATCAACACTGAATAGAATATTTTCACAGTAACATGTTTAAATATAAAGTCATTACAATGCTGAAAAAACTAATTTTGTTTTTAATGAATTGAAACCACTCTAGACTGGCCCAGCTTTTGTGAGTACCCAAATGCATACACTATTTGGTGTGCCTGAGGATAGTTTGGTATGTAAAGGACAAATACATGACAAAGAAAGCAACAGTGGGAAAATATTTCCCAACACTTTCAATTCTCTTACTTACCCTCTCCATCTTTTCATCATTTTGAGACCACAGCAATGGCTTGGGAAGGTCAATTCAGCGCTCTGTAAATGGAGAAAGGCTCTAAAGGGGGGCAGCTCTTTGAGGGCCCAAGTGTTTTTAGCTTGGAGCTTTTCAATGGTCTCAATACCAATTGAAGGCAAAGAGCTAACTTTGGTTTCTGAAAGGTCTCTGGAAAGACAGACAAAGAGATACAAATCTGAGGCTGGTCCTGTATGCCTTAACCTCAACATGTGACTCAGTTGCAGAATAAAGATATTATTTTATGTAAGAATATTATTTGATATAAGAAACAACAAAGTAAAGTTATTTTCTTAAGAATAACACTAATTCCTCTTTTAGCAAAATCTGTACATTTTAGTTACTCACAAATGAGTTGGGCCACAAATCACGCCATGAAATGCAAATTCATCTATTCGCTCCAAATCCACATTCCTGTGAAGATACCTGAAGAATGGAGAATATATGAGGGGCCAGTGTGGCCAAAATTGATCTGTTTTTTTATTTCTGAAAAATCCTCCTCTACTAACATATATAAAATTCCATTTAACTTGACTACTTTATAAAAACATTTTGAGTAACAAAATGGTAATTCAACCTGCAGCCAGCCAGGTTGTTAAAGGGACCACATAAAAACACAGGAGTTATATATATATATATATATATAATATTTGTCAGTTCCATCCTGTGTGCTATCACTTTAAAACTCTTTTTAGTTTGACTACAGTGATTCGAAATGGCATACACTTCCTCCAGGCTGCTCCCATTGAAGGCATAATGCTGGATCTCTTTCACACCATTGCTATGCAGCATGCTAAAAAAAAACAAAAAGGGTTAATTATTACATTATATTGCAAATAATGGCTGACCAGACTGAACCACATTAGGACTATCTAAGCAAGAGCTTTGGCCATACTTCTAACACATTAAAAAAGATATACGAGAGCTCCTGCAGTCAATGTTGCAATACTATCCAGTTGTAGTGACTACAGCACACATCAACAAGAAGAAGCAGGATCCACACACAATCCTCCTTAACCACCTCCCTCCTTGTGACTCCATCACCTTATAGAGTTTGAAAAATACATGCTACCACACTACACAATTATGGAAACAATTAAGTTATATACAAACGTAATTTGTAGGAGAAAGGGTTTCTTTAGCAGCACTTGTACAGGCTTGATAACAGGGATAAGTACTTTTCTGTCTTTCTTTTTTGGTTGTTTTTGCAAATTCAAACTTTGACCACATAATTTTAAATCTTTATTATTTCCTACTTTATTATTGCCAACTGGTCTGACAGTGTCTTAACTAAAAGTCTGTGCTGTTACCCTCCTGTCTGACATGTCTAATGCAAAAAAGCAAAAAAAGCACACAAAAAAAAGGAAATTAGACCTAGATTTCATAATGTTATGCCTTAATTTTCTTTATGCCTTTTTTTTTTTAAACCAACTTGACGTTGGTTTCAAAATATTAAAAAGTAATATAAATTGCAATCAGAGTACTAGGGGAGCATATCATATTCATATAAAATTGAAAGATAAATTGAACGAATACCTAAAACCACCATAGAACTGGAATTTCAGTGCCTCTGAGTCAGTGACATTAAGCCTGAAAATGACATTTGAGCCATTGTTCAACTAAATCTTACTTACATGGTCAGAGCATTCTCAGATATGCCAATGAAAGAATTAGCAGGTATAACTTGTATGAAGACATTCTCCACTATCTCCCTGTAAAAAAGGTGTGAACATGAAATATTTGACACCAGTTAAAAATTCATACATTTTAGCAAACAAAGTTCATTGCAATTAGGTATGTTTAAATGTTACATACAAAATAAAATCCTCTTGGCTGGACTGAACGTACTGGAGCCCAGGGAAAGAGGTTAGACCTGTGTTGGTGATCCCACTGTATTGAAACAAATTTCAGTCAGTGACCAGTTAATGCATTGCAGAAGAAATGTCAGGTACTATTTAAAGGCTTTTTATACTGTATTCTTGTGAAAATATGATATACTATGACACAATAAAACTATGTATAAGCAAATTAAAATTTGACTTACAGGTACTTTAAATTAGGCAGATCCTTAAATGCCTCTTGGTCAATGTATGACAGTGTTTTCATACCAGTTAGTTGTCTATTGGACACACAAGATACAGACACCACACACACACACACACACACACACACACACACACACACAACTTAATTTTTCA